GTCCATTTACAGGTTCTTCATGAGTACAATTAAGTGTTCCAGAATATGCATACTCTGTAAAGTTGTCCATAGCTTATCATGATCCCTACAATTGAAAACCTTTGCATAGTCAATAAAGCACAGGTAAACATCTTTTCGTATTCTCTGCTTTCAGCCAAAATTCATATAACACAGTATCCCTCATTACGTTACCTCTTCTGAATCTGGCTTGAACCTCTGGAAGTTGTCTGTCAATGTATGGTTGCAGCCATTTCTCTATTACCTTTAGTAAAACTTTACTCACATTGGATATCAAAGATATTGTCTCATGATTTCCGCATTCCATTGGGTCTCTTCTCTTTCGAATGGGCATAACTATGGATCTGTTCCAATCATTTGGCCAGATAGTTGTCTTCCAAATTTCTTGGCATAGAAGAGTGAACCTCCAGTGCCGCCTCACTTTCTTGAAAGATTTCAATTCTATCAGTTCCTGGTACCTTGTACTTTGCCAATTCCTTTAATACTCCTTGGACTTCATTGGCTCTTGATCATATGCTACCTCTTGAAATAGTTGAACCATTTCCTTTTGGTACAGTGACTCTGTGTACTCCTTCCATCTTCTTTTGATGCTTTCTGCATCGTTCAATAATTTGCCCAGAGAATCCTTCAATAACAAAAACTGAGGCTTGGTTTTTTTTCTTCAGTTCTATCAGTTTGAGAAATGCTGAGCGTGTTCTTCCCTTCTGGTTTTCTAACTCCAGATCTTTGCACATTTCATTGTAATATTTGACTTTGTCTTATTGAGCTGACTTTGAAATTTTCTGTTTATCTTTTGTACCTCCCCATTTTTTTCCATTTGCTTTAGCATCGCTACGCTGGAGAGCAAGTTTCAGAGCCTCTTCAGACATTCATTTTTATCTTTTCCTTCTTTCTTGTCTTCTTAATGACCTTTTGCTTTCTTCCTATACTCTTGATGTCATCCCACAACTCTTCTGGCCTTCAGTCTTTAGTGTGTAGTGTATCAAATCTGTTCTTCAGATGATCTGTAAATTCAGGTGGGATATATTCAAGGTCATATGTTTGCTCTCTTGTATTTTTTTTTTTGCATTTTCTTCAGCTTCTGTCTGAATTTGCATATGAGCAAGTGATGGTCTGTTCCTGGCCTTGCTTTGGCTGATGATGATATGGAACTTTTCCACCATCTCTTTCCACAGATGTAGTCAATTTGATTTCTGTCTATTCTGTCTGGTGAGGTCCATGTATATAGTAATCACTTAGCTGTCTGAAAAATGTATTTGAAATAAAAACATCATTGATTTTGCAGAATTCTGTCATGCCATCACCAGCATTATTTCTGTCATCAGTGGTTGGCCATATTTTCCAACCACTGATCCTTCCTCTTTGTTTCCAACCTTTGCTTTCCAATCACCAGTAATGATAAATACATCTTTTTTTTTAATGTTTTATTGTGAATTATGTGATAGTTTACATGGGAGAACATTAGTTTTACATTCATCCTATCATATATCGTTTCATTGCCATGGTTACAATCCTCTCCATGCATCATCAACCAACCACAGGGTATACCCTGCAAGCCTGCCCATCCCCAGGTCATCAGCACACAACCCCTCTCCCTCTCTGGGTCTGAAGTCCCCAGCTGCTCCCATCTCTCCACGTCATTGTCTCTGCTTCCATCTCAGGCATCACTGCTTCTCTGGGTAGGGTCCCACTCTGAGCTTCTCCCCCTTGATGGTCCCAGGGACCTCCGCTCCTAGACTGAAAAGTTAATCACTCCCCTCCTTGCTACAAAACATCTACCTTTACATTTCCAACTCTCACAAGCAGTCCTGATAACAATTATTCACAATTGTATCACAAGAGACCTGGCCACATTTCCTTTCATCAGCCCCGCCTAGAAAGATTGGATACTACTCAGTGGAGATTCTACCTTCCTCCACGCCCTGTGGATCTAGATTCCCTCTTGAAAGCTTGTAAGCCAATCACTTCTTACCTTTGTAGCCTTCCCCTCCCCCCCCATTTTGGGTAGCCAATGTCCAATTTGCCCATCCTTGTCTACGGTGTGTATGGAGGGGGTTGGGAATGATCCTTGCTGTAAAGATTTGTTCCCTCTTTTGAGCTACTGCATCCATAGGTGTAGGTCAAGTTCATCAAATTGCATCAGATTACTCTTTTTTTCCCTCTTCATTCTTCCTCTAGTTGAGCTCTGGTCATCCAGTCATTGAAGCCAGGTCAAGTGGGTATTATCTGCACATGTGGGTGCTCTTGTGCATATGCCCTCTTTTCTTATCAGCTGGATGCTTCACTCTCCACTCTAGTCCACTGACTCTGGGCCCAAGAGTCCCCAGGTCTTGCCACACTGCTGGCCAACCAGGTCTCCACCCAGGTTCACAGGAGTCTATTGAATGTTGTAGGGCTTAGTTCGCAGCTTCATTTCTGTTTTTCCCTCACTTCCCCTTATCGGTGACGATCGTGATCACCAGTCAGAGCGTGTATTCCCATTGAGTCTTAGTCTTAGAAGGGGGTTTGCTCTGTGGAGACCCGACCTCTTGCCTTTGATGTCTCCTCGGTGAGCTTGATTGTATGTTTGATCAATGTTAGATTGAAGAAGTTGATAGCATTATTCTATTTCATCCTCATTTGCTTTAGTGGTTGGTGTGTAATTTTGAATAATAGTGGTATGAACTGGTCTTCCCTGTAGGCGCATGGATGTTATCCTATCACAAACATCACTGTTCCTCATGACAAGTATTGATAAGTTCTTTTTGACAGTGAATGTAACACCATTCCTCTTCAATTTGTCATTCCCAGCATAGTAAACCATGTGGTTGTCAGATTCAAAATGTCCAATACCAGTCCATTTCAGCTCACTAATGTCTAAGATACCAATATTTATGCGTTCCATTTCTTTGACAATTTCCAATTTTCCTAGATTCATACTTCGTGTATTCCATGTTCCAATTATTAACGGATGTTTAAAGCTGTTTCTCTTCATTTTGAGTTTGTAACCTATCAGTTACCCTCTTTTGTCAGTTGTTGTTGTTAAGTGTTGTCAAGTTTATTACAGCCCATAGTGACCCTGTATAGTTTCTGAGGAGCTGCTGGTGAGCTTGAATTGCCGACTTTGTGGTTCGAACCAACTGTGCAATTCACTGCATTAACCCTCAGCACCACAGAGTGAATCTTAATTCCAGACTTCAGTTTTTCTGCCTTATGGCTAACTTCTGTCAGTGACTGCTTACTTATAGGTTGTTGAGCTAGTAACTAGATAATATGGCCTGATTTAATCTGGCAGCTTGACTTGGCGACAGTGTAAAGCCTCAAGATGAATTGCTCTGAATACATACTCTCTAGTGTTTATAAATGAAACTCTGTATGCTTCCACATTTGTGTGTATGATGGAATGATGTAAATTGTTTGGTTTGTGTTGTTTTTAATTACTAGAGTAAGTAAAAAATTGTCCACACTCTTATTTTAATCAACATGTTAGAAAAATAAATACATCATTTTTCGACATAATATCCTTGCTTTTGTCCATCTGTCAACAAGCTTTATTCCTTTATTAAAAAATGTTTAGGCTCAGCTGTAAGCCACAAATGCACCATTATCTTCACTTCTTCATCAGAGGTGACTCTATGTCATCAAAGGGCTGCTTTTGGGGGACCATAAAGGTGAAAATCTGATGGAGCAAGATCAGGACTATAGGGAGGATACTTTAACACCTCAAAATGAATTTTTTGCAGTGTCAATAGTGTGGGCAGAGATGTGTGGACATGCATTGTCATGCAAGATCAGAATATCCTTGGATAATAGTCCTCTGCTTTTAATCCCAGATTTAAGCTTCAGCTTTTCAGTGAGATAGATGCTCACTGTAAGAGGCACTGTTGACTGTTGAACCTTTTTCCTGATAGTGTTCTAATACTGGCTCTTCAGAATTCCAGAAAACTGTAAGCATCAAGTTTCCAGCTAATGGTTTATTTTTACCTTTTTCTTGCTTGGTGATTGAGGATGTTTTCATTTCATACTCTGCCGTTTACTCTCAAGCTTTTAGTGATTAATCACATCTCACCACCACCACCTTCACCAGTAACGATTTTTTTTAGAAACTTTAACCTTCCTTCAAGTATTGGTCCAAATTTTGTTTGTAGATGTCCAAATGCTTCTGTTTATGTTTTTCCGTGAGTCGTTTTGGCACCCATCTCGCACACACTTTTTGAAACCCAAGTCTGTCATGAAGTCTTTCACAGGCAGAGCCATGGTTGGCTTGACATATAATCCACTGTCACTGGACAGAATCACTTCACGATGCACACTCAGCGTTGTCATCACCCGTAAGTGTGGATGGGCATTTTAATATAACTGGAGTGCGGATGGTTTTTGACTCATTCTCGTATGTTTTTGTATATGTTTTACAAACAGTATGTAGGAATATAGTATGTGCTTTATTTTCCGGGTTACCCAAAAAATAGTGCTTTAAGTTCCAAAGATCCCATTCATGGAAGCATATACATTTATGAATTAGGACTTATGGAAACTCTAGTCTACATATAAGTACATCTTTTAGTTATCTGGATAGCTTTAACAAGGTAATAACTCTTGTATTTTATGTAAAATGATACATTTCCTGATATCTATTTTGCAGTATGCCCAGTAACATAACTAAATGTAACTTTTTTAAGCTCTTCAGGATGTGCTTGTTTGTGCTTATTGTCACATTATGGTGCTTAGTATATTGATGATCATGAAAGTGTCAAAAGACGTGTCCAGGTTGACTAGCATGTCTTTTGTTGTTAATCAATTACCTTTCTTTCTCAAAAATCCTTTCAGATTGCCATTTACATTTGTAACTAAGGAAGTAGCTGAAGCCACGTGTAATTGCCTCCTTGCCCAGGCAGAACAGGCAGACAAGAAGGGAAAATCAAAGGCAGCAGCTGAACGGATGATACTTGAGGAATTTGGACGATGTTTGATGAGTGTAATCAACTCTGCAGGAAAAGCAAAAAGTGACCCTTGTGCCATGAATTGCTAACTCTTGCACAGCAGACTGATAAATGGAACTGTACAGAAAATTTACGTTGCCCTGGGACACTTGATTTTCTGAAAGATTAACAGTTACTGTATTATTAATTCAGTCCTTGTTTTAAGAGACTTGAACTTATACTATTGAAAGATATTTTAAATGAGGAATTGGTACATTTTAAATCTTAGTTAAATCTGCTTATGCCCCATCTAAATTGGCCTTTTCCTTAATGTATTATAGAGAATTTTAATTTGCTTTGGTTTCCTAAGAATTAGATGTTCTATAATTCTGATTCTATTGGCAAAACATTTATAAATTACTATGATACGATTTATAATGTATGGTGTATGACTTTGTTCTGGTAACAGCCAAGGAACATTGATACTTAGTTCTTTGCTATGAAACCTACAAAATAAGCAGGTAGAATGTTTATGAAACACATCCAGTTGACATTTTGTGATTAGAAAAGCATTAACTAAAAAAAAAAAAAAAATTAGTCTTTTAAGGAAAATTCTGGAATAATATCCCACTTTGGAATTGTCAGAAGTGGGGAGGTAACCATAGGAACACTTTTAAAATATTTTGTTTTTTAAAAAAATATATATATATACATATAAAGTGTTAAGAAACAGTAAACAAAATCTCAGAGGATGGGCAGTAGGATTCTGTAAGAAGTGACAAACAAGTGCTCTGGGATGTCTCCATTGTGTTTTAAAGAGGTGTATGTCTGTAATGGTAATAAATTGTCATAGTGATTACTGGGTACTATTAAAATGGAAAGGTCCATCTGAAAAGAAGTAAATATATTATTATCATATAATGTTAATATATAATCTCACATAATTATCAGGTATAGAATTTGCTTTGGATGGAGAAATACAGAATATTGAAGTTGTAAGAGATGATGAATTTAGGGAACGATTTTTTTCATCTATAGAAAAAGTTCTCTTGATCGACTTGAACTAAGGTTTCAAACTAGTATGTGACTCTTACATGATTTACTGAAGTGATGAACCTCCTAACAAAGCTTCCAAAATTATGTGGGATTCCTTTTTATCAGCAGAGTTTACTATGGCATTGTTTTTAACCAGTGCTTTGGTAAGTTGAAGTATGAATGTTTTCCTATCATTACTAAAAGAGCCTAAATCATTTTCAGTAACTCAAAATTTAAAAGCTTTATGAATTTAAAGCCTGTTGTAGAAGACTCTTTGATTTTTCTTGACAAGAAAAACCATGTTGGAATTCAGGCATTTGTTAGGTACCTTAATCCATAGTAATTACTAGTATATAATTATTACATTTCCTAAAAGGAATCTATAATTATATGTATTATGTGTGTATATATGTTCATAAGAACACACAAGGTGTAGACAATAGTAATTAAGTAACTCAGAGGATTCCGTTATTCATTAAAGTATCTTTTGAAATTTGGATTTCAAATTTACAGTAAATGTAATGTAGATAGTGCAGATAATCTTAGAACCTCAATCTAGTATGTTTAATTAAACTTTGTATAAATGTAAATTAGTGTAAGAGGATAAAATAATATCTAATCAAGTTATTTTTCAAAAGATTGCAATACCTTTTTGGTCTAAACGTAAACTTTGTTCATTTTGTACATACTCTGTGTTTAATTCTAATTGCACCTTTGTGATGTGTATTTATATACAGTGTGCAGAAAATGTTTGTGAAATTTGGATTACAGTTGTAGATTATGTATGATGGCATTGCTTGACAATGTTTTGCTTGTAAAATTTGAAGGTGCAATCAAATGCTACTAGTTTTTCTGATTCTCAAGAAATATCTAAAGTATTAAGCCTTTTCCCTTCCTGTGTAGTACTTAACAACTTTTTTGTATTTAGGCATTTGCATCAAATTGCTGAACAAGATTAATAGCCACTTTCAACAATTTTAAAAGACTATTTGGGGAGGGTTGGGTATATAATTTTTTAGCTCTATTTACATCCCAAAGTAGAAAGAGTAAATTTATATTTACTAGAGCTATTCAAAGAATACACTTTTCTATATTGTAATAACAGGACAGTAAAGTAAATCATAAGGAAAATAAACATTTATACTATTCTGTAAAAAAAGGTTTTGCATTTTTTCTTTAATACACCACATGTGACATGTAAGAAACCTTTTCGAAGATCTTATTTTCAAGTAAATTTGACATTTTTGAAATCACACAACTAAAAACAAATCTATCATTTTGCTCAATTTCATTAACAAATTTCTTCAATGGAAAAGTACATGTCTTCTGTTCTTTTCTCCTTTCCTTTTTAGGGCATAAATGCAATTTATTGTTTTTTAAATGTGTGATGTTCTTATGCTGAGCGCCTTTTGTACTTTTTCTCTCAGGAACCAACACAACCTTATCTCTGGACTATTTGGGAAATAGAACCTTAATGTATAAAGGTAATAAAACAAGCAGAGCAGAGACTTTGGGGATGGTCATGACATGGGAGTAGAGGTGGCGAGTTATTGCTTTAGCTTCCCCATTCTTTGATATGGACAACTGACATTGATTTTCTCAGTCTTATGTAAAATGTGAATAAAAAAAGTTAGAAAAGTTTTCTATTTTTATTGTTTTTAACACAAAAACTAAGAAATTGAATACTTGTATTGCACATGCAGCTTTAAACTAGTAGCTGGAGTCCTACCTTTGATTATATTGCATTCTTCATGAATTCTTTATGGAAATTTTGGAGTAGTCATCCTAAGCAGAAGGAAGCCTATCAGTTTACAAGCTTTTATCATTGACATTATTTACTATAGTATAAACTGGTGGTGGTGTTAGATGCCATTGAATTGATTCCAACTTAGTATAGGGTTTCCTAGGAGTGGCTGGTGGATTTGAACCACCAACTTTATGGTTAGTCCAGTCTTTATCCTACAATGCCACAACAGAAGTCCATAGCATAAAACTTTTTTTCTTGTTTGTGCTTCTTGAATGCATGGTTTTCAATTATCTATTGTCCTTTGTCTTTGACTCAATTAATTTGAGACTAAGTGGCTTAAGGTCTTTTTTTTTTAATTTCCTTTAAAGAGTGAGTTTTATTAAAACATTTAAGGCATTTCTAATCTTCATTCAAAGAAGATAAAAAGCAACCATATTCAGGTTGGGTATTAAGTCACAGACATCAGTGTTATTTTTACCATTATAGGTGCCAATGCTATCCAGAAATACTTAAAAAGCATAATACATCACAACTACAGTTTGCCATGGGAATACATTGTGGATTCAACATTTTAAAAATATACATCAATAAGTATAATTCACTGGAGCAACAGACAAAAGAGAAAAACCATATGACCTCAAAAGATGCCAAAAACAACTTCAAATATACTAGTTGGAAACAACTTCAAATATACTTTAAGACAGTGAGTTCTATGGTTTGCAAATTGTACTTGAAACTTTTAATGAGGAAATTACCTGACAAAATATTAACTTTTTTTTTAAAAGAATCTTTGTAACTTCTAAGTAAACTTTAGAAGGGATCTTCAACGTTTTCCAGATAAAAGGTGTCCATTTGAGGGGTAAAGTGCATGGACCCAAGCCATGGTATTTCCAACAGCCTCATGTGCATGTGAGAGTTTGACAGTGAATAAGGAAGGTAGTAGAAGAATTCATACATTTGAGTTAATGGTGCTGGAGAAGAATATTAAAGATACCATGGATTGCCAGAGAACTAACAAGTCTGTGCTGGAAGTACAACCAAGAGTGGTCCTTAAAGGCAGGCTGGCCAGACTTCATCTCTTATACTTTGGACATGTAATCAGAAGTGATAGCAGAAGGCAGTCCTAGTATGGTGCTATGAGTTAATGCACTGGACTGCAAAGGCAGTTTGAACTGCAAGGTTGATGGTTCAGGTTCACCAGCTGCTCCTCCAGAATTCTATATAGGGTTGCTATGTTGGAACCGACTCAACAGCACTTAGCAACATCAGAAGGGACCAGTCCCTGGAGAAGGAGGGTCAGCGAACAAGGAGGAAACTCCTTAGATTGGGACAGTGGCAACAGTAATGTTGTCAATTGTGAAGATGGCTCAGGACAAGGAGGTGTTTCGTTCTGTTGTACATTGGGTCACTATGGGTTGGAACTGACTCAGCGGCACCTAACACAACAACAACAAACTCTTCAGCTCCTTTCATGAAGGAATACTTTCACTTAAGCTTAGGAACAAGGCAAGGGAATCTCACCACTTGCTACTCAAGAATACACTGAAGGTCCAAAACAGGGAAGAGGCAAGTATACTCAAAATCAATAAAAAATTATCTGCACATAGCCACAGAGGACTAGAGTGGAGAGTGAAGTGTCCAGCTGTAAGAAGAGAGGGCATATGCACAAGAACACCCACACTTGTAGATAATACCCACTTGACCTGGCCTCAATGACTGGATGATCAGAGCTCAACCCAAAAAAGAAAGAAGAGGAAAAAAGTGTCATCTGATACAATTTGATGAACATGACCTACACCTATGGATGCAATAGCTCAAAAAAGTTAACAAATCCTCACTGCAAGAATCATTCCCACCCCCTCCACAAGAGTAGACAGGGATGGGCAACTTGGACATTGGTTACCCAAAATGGGGGGGAAGGGGGGAAGAACTACAAAGGTAAGAAGTGACAGGCTTACAAGCTTTCAAGAGGGAACCTAGATCCGGAGGGTGTGGAGGATGGTAGAGTCTCCAGTGAGTAATATCCAACCTGTCTAGGCGGGGCTAATGAAATGAAATACAGATGGGTCTCTTGTGATACAATAGTGAATAATTGTTATCAGGACTGATTGTGAGGGATGGAAATGTAAAGGTGGGCATTTTACAGCAAGGAGGGGAGTAATTAACTTTTCAGTCTAGGAGAGGAGGGCCCTGGGACCATCAATGGAGAAGAGCAGAGAGTGGGACCCTACCCAGAGAAGTCGTGACACCTGAGATGGAGGCAGAGATGATGACGTGGTGAGATGGAGAGGCTGGGGACTTGAGATCTAGAGAGGGAAAGGGGCTGTGTGCTGAGGATGGGGGAGGGGGAGCAGGCTTGCAGGGTATACCCTTTGGTTGATGATGCATGAACGGGATAGTAACTACGGCAATGAAATATGATAGAATGAATGTAAAACTAATGTTCTCCCATTACATAATTCACAATAAAACATTTTAAAAATTAAAAGACAGGAAGGAAAGGAAAGAAAAGTAAAAAAAAAAAATTATCTGCAGATGATGTACTTGCCTGGGAAGAAAACCCCCCAGAAAATCTAGAAACAGCCACTAGAACTAATAGAAATGGGTGTGCAAGGTCATTCTGAAAACATCAATTGTATTTTGCTGTGTATGCGGTGAACATTTGAAAATTGAAAATTTTAAATTACCGTTTACAACACTGTTGTTAAGTGCTGTTAAGTTGGTTATATAGTGAACCTGTACAGGATTTCTGAGGAGCTGCTTGTGGGTTTGAACCTGACCATAGCAACAATAAAACATGAAATCTAACAAAAATACATACAAGATCTGTAAGCTGAAGAGTACAAGACACTGATAGAGGAAAACAAAAACCAACTTAAAAAAATAAGAAGATTCAATATTAAGATGTCTATTTTCCCAAAATTGATCCATAGATGCAATATAACCACAGCGAAAACAGGAAAATTGGAGGATTACCACCTGATTTCAAGATCTGCAGTGACCAATCACTGAGAAGGAAGTAGAGCAACTGAACTTTCATACACTGCTCACTGAAATGCAAATATGGTAGTCACTTGGCAAAACTTGGCAGTTTGTTATAAAGTCAAATATTCTCCACATGACTCCAAACACATTTTCTTTATCCATTCATGCGATGTTGGACATTTGTATTGTTTCTACTTTTTGGCTACTATGAATAATGCTGCCAGATTTTCTCCCTTTCTTGCTAGTGCTCTTTGAAGCACAACAGTTTTTAAATTTTGAGGAAGCCTAATTTATGGGTTCTCTTACTGCTTGTGCTTTTATCAAATGTAAAAATCTAATATAACTTAAGTCCTAAGGATTTACTGTTTTCTGCTAAGAGTTTTATAGTTTTAGTATTTACAAGATCTACGTGTAATTATTTTATATGGTGTAAGGTAAGTGTCCATCTTCATTCTCTTACATGTGGCTATCCAGTTGTCCTAGCACCATTTGCTGAAAAGTACAATGAATACATTTTTGGAGGGAATGTTTGTTTTCTCTGAAAAAAAGATGCAAAGTAGAAATCATAACCAAATGGCCTTAATCAAATGAATATTTATAGAAGTCTTAAATTAGAGTATGTCAAATATAGTTATCAAACTTGAAACTCTTTCACAAGAGTAAGAGCAATTAAGTGTCATAACAGCAGTGATAACTCAATTTGCCCCATTTTATCCAACACTTAAATAATGAAAGCATTAATGTCTCAAAATATAGAATATATTAGTACATTAGTCAAATATAACAGCAAAGAACATTAAACACCATAGATATGTACCTAGTTTTAAGCAAATATTAGGTACAAAACTTGGATTTATATAAGCAATAAATTAAAAGAAGTTACAGGCTTTAAATAAGATTTATCCTAATAAAACTAAGGTCATTCTATTTGCAAACAAAATGCAGTATTTAGGCTTTTCAAGACCTCTTGTGTAAAATTTGCTACAACAGGAGCTACATTTCAAAGCTTAAGCTTTCATTTGAGGTAGAATACACAAGTATACCAAAATAGACTTAAAGGGGAATTTCAATGATAAATCTCAGTTCTTACCTAATTTTTATCCAATAGTGTACATTTTAAGGTTTTTTTCTTATAATTAAATATGCTTTGTAAAGTCACTCAGTGATGAAGTAGATGTTTTACTTACACAGGTGAATGATGTGCTCTAGTTTCTTACATTTACTAAAATACTTTATTTGTGAAAATACATGTACCTATTTTTTCAGATCTTAGTGAAAAAACAGAAAATTGTTTCCATTTTATTTAAGCTTCTTCAAATTTAGGAAAATCCCACTATACGGAAAAAATCTTTCATATAAATTGCCTTGACTTTTTGCAGTTTATCATGTGCTATGAAATTTTATTCTTCATTGAACACTGAAAACGTTTGGTTATTTTGTTGTTAAGTGCCATCAAGTCGGTACCTCTGCACATTTTAGCTTCCCTATAAACATAGCGACCCTATGCACAACATTTTAGCCTCCCTATAAACACTAGTAGACTCAAGAAGGAGGAAAAATTGAAATAAAGGCTTCACTTCATTCTGTAATGAACACTGGGTTTTCCCAACAGGGATGAAGTGAGAATCCACCGTATTATTTGAAAATATTTCTAAGTTCAAGAACAACAAATTGTGAAAATCATTTTATTTCTGTCCTTGCTAGAAGGTTTCCCCAGCTTGCTTGCAGCTAAAGAACCATTTCATGGCTCAGGTACTTAAACTTTGCCTGACAAAGTATGATCACTTCTATATTTTAGGATACCTGTAATGGTATTTTTATGGTAGTTGGTATTTTGTTTTAGCTTAATTTTTAAACCAGAACTAAATATTTAAGAAAAAAATCTTATGCAAAGTTTTACAGGCATTTTGTCACAATTCTAAAAGGTCACGAACTGAAGCTCTTTTGAGGAGTATATAGTCAGTTTGGGGACTAAGCTGTGCCTGACCCAAGTCATGGTATTTTCAATAGCCTCATCTGCATGCAAAAGGTGGACAATGAGTAAGGAAAACCACAGAAGAATTGATGGATTTGAGTTATGGTGTTGGAAGAGACTATTAAAAGTACCATGGCGTGAGTGTCAAAAATAAAAAGACACCTGTTTTGGAAGAAGTACAGCCAAAATGCTCCTTAGGAGGCTAGCTGGCCAGACTTCCTCCCTCATACTTGGGACATTCTATCGGGGGGACTAGTCCATGGAGAAGGACATCATACTTAGTAAAGTGGAGAGTCAGCCAAAAAGGGGAAGACTCCCAATGAGATACACTGGCACAGTGGTAGCAGCAATGGGATCAAGCGTAGCAACAATTGTGTGGTGAAGTGCAGGACTGGGCAGTGTTTCGTTCTGTTGTGCATATGGTTGCTATGAGTCAGTACCAACTCAATGGCACTTAAAAACAACAGTCTATAAAAGGAGTAATGGTCTGTTTATAAAAGGAGCAGATGTTTTGGCCACTCCTAGTTGTCATTCTTCCTGGTTTTTAAAGTAGACTGAATCAGTTAAAAAAGTAGGTCCAGTCATACTACTTCATCTTTAAGAGTAGTGAATTCAAAGATAGCATTTGTTTGCTAGTCTGTTCCTGCTGACTTACTGCTTTCTTCACTTGAGTAACTGAAATGCCATACAAAAAGAAAGACACGCAGATTTTATGGTATACATAATTAGAAATTCACATGAGTCAGAATTGCAAACTTGCCCGCTGTACATAATGATCAATTTATAAAATAATGGTAAGTTGAACTTTAAAAATAAACCCATGTTGACCACTTACTCTTAATAAACATTTTCATATATTTCAGGACTCTCATTTGAATGGATAACCACTCTTACTTAGCAACTGCCTGGATTTCTTGGTTTTGTTAAAATCTGGATATTTGTAATCTTGTAAAGATATTAAGTATTTCTTTGATAATGTTTTCATTTCATTTCTTTCTGAATGGTGTTTTAAAGGATACTGAGATACATCTTTAGCTCTGACACTTAAGAAGCAAACTATTATATCCTTTAGCAACTTTACATAGTGGTTGACGGCACATACTTCTCCATCAAACAGATGCTCATCTAAACCTACAAAAAGATAAGGATGGCCAGAAAGCTCACATAATATTTTCTGCTGAAGATACAAGTCTCTTGTTTTGGGAACTAGTTTATAAAGTGCCGTTTTTGAATATGTTCTTACAGCTCGCTCACAGATGTCTAGGACCCTACGTAGACTTTCTGAAGGAAAATACAAACCATTCTTCTTCTTCACACATAACAGGGACCCAATTTTAAAGGCTTTGACATCCGATGCATACAGTGCAGCGATACAATCCTCACAAGTTAAAAGACTTGATAATTTATTAGCAATGTAGCCAGCATAATAGGTGATGTTCCGCCTGTGATCTGACAGGTCTAGTAATGCCTCACTCAGTAAACAATGTGACCAGTCTTGGCAAATGTCCTCCTTGTGAAAAAGAGTCTTTGTGGTGCTGACACCATACTGGCGTTGAACTGTCCGAAGGGCCAAGTCTGCCCTTCGAGCAACTGAAATGTCAAGGATGCTTACTTCACTTAGGAAAACTTCCTCTTGAAACCTGTATCTAGACTCTAAATGATGGTAAGCTTTTTGGAATGCCATGCAGGTAGGGCTTGAACTGGTTACTAACACCTGCTTAAGCATCCTTAAAAATAATTCCAGATGATCCTGACTGAATTTGTAAGTCAGAAGATATGGAAAAGGCATGACCTTTGTGAAAACATAATTTTGGTAAAGCCATTTTAAACTCTCAGCATTGAGCAGAAATCCCAAGAATCCTAATTTTCGCTTACCTTTAATTATTAGATTATTGTTAGTATCAGATAAAGTAACAAAAAGAGTCTTGGCCTCCATCAACACACGATTTATCTTACTATAACTTTCAGACAATAGCGGCCCCTTAAGTCCCTTTCCATAACAGTTTCTACTATTAAAGACATCAAACAGATTGTTAATTAAGCGTATAAAATTGATGGTACCGATACAGCTTTGAAAAGGAGGTAGGCGTATGGACCGCAAACATTCTAGCGCACTGGCTACACTTTCACTGAAGATTTGGGCAGCACAATTCATTTTCAGTACATGATTTTTCAAGTTTGGAAGTTTACTTGGGATTCTTTTCATACTTGATAATTCCATTTCCTCTAGTGCTACTAAATCCACAAGATGCTGCCAACGTGCTGTGCCATTAATAAACTTAATGCTCTGAAAATACTGAAATGCGTTTCTTATTAATCTAAGCAAGTGGCAAGAATCAAAAAAGTATGCAATCTGTTGACTAGAAGATGAAGGATGCTGAAATGTACACTTCATGTTGTCTCCATCAATACATATCCCTAAGGCTTTTGCCATTTCCACACTGTGAGCTGTTGCATCAGATGTAACAGCCAGCACTGTGATGCCTATGTCACTCAGTTTGCCGATAGTCAGACGAAGCAGCTGAGCTTGCAAATATCCAGATGCCCTGTTTACAAAAAAATAACCAAGAGGTGTTCTCCAATGACCAAAAATACCCACTGCCAGCAACAAAATAGTTTCTGAGGCAAGTGGTGTTTCATCAGCATCCAGTTTGCCAAGACCAAAGTCCATAAATCCTTGTAAATGATGACTGCTGGGATCCCACTGAAGTTGCTGCTTGACAGATACACCCTTTATAATCAGTGAGCAATACTGATATAGCTGGTCTCCATTCTCTACTCTTTGTTGAAGAAAAGCAAAAACGTTACTGTTGAAACCTGGACTGGGTTTGCACTTGGATAACCACCTGGAAAACATAAAAAGTGAAAAACTTAAATGGAGTAATACAAAGACAAAAGAGAAAAGTTCTTCAATGGTACTAAAGTAGCTTCAAATACCTTTGGACAAAAAGCCAGGTATGTAGCCAATTCTACAGACATTTTCAAACATGCATTCATATGGTCTCAATAAAACATAAGAGAATAGTGTTTTATTAAAAAAAAAAAGTAATGTTTTATGATTCAAGCTTATCACAAAATAGGTACATTTTACAAATTTCTCATAATGTTTGAATGTATGCTATAATCTCAAGAACTACATGGTTGGCTTCATTTGCTAATTAAAGTATATAAAACAATTAACTTTTTAGTTATAATTGATGTGCTTATAATGTGCAGTATTACCTGTAAATCCACTGAAACAAGAAGATTGTTGACAGAAAAGAATCTCTGGCAACATTAAATACATCTACCACATTTTACAAATAAAAAACAGCTGAGGGAGCGAGAAAGCCATTTAGCTCCTATTCTGCAGCTAGTTATGATCAAATCCAAAATTCCGTTTTCCTGATGGCCTATCCAGTGCTTTTCTCATTATCACTGACAGCTGCAAAATTATTCCCCTAGAGGCAATTAAGGTATCTGCTCTGTTTATAAAGTATTGTATGGCTATTGTAAGAGTTCTTTGATAGCATCACTGACCTTCCCAGACCAATTATTCTTTCTTGTTATTGCTATCACTATGAGTACTAAACAACTCCATGACAACTGGTATTACTGCTATCATCTGTCTTTATAATTCTTACTCACTACTTTACTGCTTTTAATTTGTTAGGGATCAAGAAAGGAAATGGCCAGTTTAATGTTATTGCTACATGCCATCCAGTCGTTCCCAATCATAACAACCCCATGCACAACAACAAAAAACATTGCCCAATCCTGTACCATCCTCATCATCATTGCTGTTTGAATCCTTTATTGCAACCATTGTGTGAATTCATCTTGTTTAGGAGCTTTGTCCTTTTCATCAACAGTCTATTTTAGCCAGCATGATGTCCATGTTCTTTTCCAGGAGCTGGTCCCTTTTGATTGCCTATGACATAAAGTCTCACCATCCTCACTCTAAGGAGCATTCCAGATGTACTTCTTCCAAATCACATTTGACTGTCCTTCTGACATTCCATGGTATAGTCTTTGTCAACAACATAACTGAAACACTTTAGTCTTCCTTATTCATTGCCCAGATTCTGCATGCATACGAGGCAGTTGAAAATACCATGGCTTAAGTCAGCTGCACCTTTATCCTTAGAGTAAGTAACAACATTTTTGCTTGTGAACACTTCAAAGAGATCGTTTGCAAATTTGTCCAATGCAATACACATCATTTGACTTTTTCATTGCTGCTTCCTGGGCCTTGATTGTGGATCCAAATAAAATTAAAATTAAATCCTTGACAACGTCAGTCTTTTATATTTATCATGCTTATTGAACCAGTGGTAAGGATTTTTGTTTTCTTTATGTTGATGTATAACCCATACTGAAGGCTGTAGTCTTTGATCTTCACCAGTAATTGCTTCAAGTCCTCTTCACTTTCAGCAAGCAATGTTGTGTCATCTGCATAGTACAGGTTGTTGAGTCTTTCTTAACCTGGTCTTCTTCATATAGTCCAGTTTTTCAGATGATGTATTCAGTATATGGATTAAATGAGTATGGTGAAAGGATATGAGCCTGACACACATATACACCTTTCCTGATTTTAAACTCACAGTAGCCTCTTGTTCTGTTGAAAGACTGCCTCTTTAATGGCATGGAGAGATAGAGCAGCTGTGGACTCTAGGCCCACAGACTGAGAAAGACTGTACCTGTGGGAAGGAGGCAGGCTTATAAAATGTACCAAAGGGCCATATTTTTTGTTTTGTATGTATATGTCAAATATTTTGGTTTGTAGAGATGTGAAAAATAAGATGTAAAAGGAAAGTCACAGGAAGGAAGCAGGATAATTGTTTCTGGGAGGGGATTGTAATCATTGAAATTATGCCAAACATATACTTGGTTGAGGGTAAAGTCAATAATGTCTATTAACCTTCGCTCAGTTTACATTAAAAAGTTCTGAAAAAAAAGAGGTCAACTCTACTTTGAGAAGGCAGATCTTCCAAGTCACACTTTGAGTGCCTTCCAATATGAGAGGCTCATTTTCTGGCAATATACCTGACAGTGTTCATCTGCTATTCATAAGGTTTTAACCACTTCTGGCTAACCACTCAGAAGTGATCTGCCTTTTCTTCTTTCTAGTCTGGAAGCTCCACTGAATCCTGTCCACCACTGGTGACCCTGCTGGTATTTAAAATAGTGGTGGCATAGTGTCCAACACCACAGTAACACACAAGTTACCACAGTACAACAAACTGACAGATAAGCAATGGAATTACCTGGGTGAATCCAATGTAATCACAAGGGGGCTTATAAGGAGGAGGCAGAAAGAAGAACCAGAAACATGAGAACATAAAAGAACTCAGTCAGTCTTTAAACATGAAAGAACAGAGTCATAACCTAAGGAATGTATCTGGTCTCTAGAAGCAAGACAGCAAATAATCGATTACATCCTAGAGCCTCCAAAAGGGAATGTAATCCTATTGACACTCTGATTTTAGCCCAGTGAGACCCATGCTGAACTTCTGACCTCTAGCACTATAATAAATTTGTACTGTTTCAGACCAAAAAAAGACTGCCTCTTGGTCTATATTAGCACTATTAAATGGTAATTTCCATTGTTTGCAATATTATCTTTGTTACAATGCACAGAAATACCTTTGCACAGTTAATAAAACACAGGTAAACATGTGACTGGGGAAGAGCTGCCTCCTCAGAGTAGAGTTGACCGTGATGATGCAGAGTAAAGCACATGGGAGTAAAGCCCACGGGACCTTCATTTGCTGATGGGGCACAACTCAAAATGAAGAGAAACAGCTGAAAACATCCACAAAAAATCGAAACATGGAATGTACAAAGTATGAATCTGGGAAAATTGGAAGTTGTCAAAAATGAAATGGAACGCATAAACATCGATATCTTAGGCATAAGTGAGCTGAAATAGACTGGTATTGGCCATTCTGAATCTGATGACTACATGGTTTACTATGCCAGAAATGACAAATTGAAGAGAAATGGTGTTTCACTGTCAAAAAGAACATATCCAGATCAGTCATGAGGTACAACGCTGTCTATGATAGGATAATATCCATGCACTTACAGGGAAACCCAGTTAATACCACTATTATTCAAATTTACGCACAAACCACTAAAGCCAGTGAGGGGGAAATAGAAGAATAATATGAACGTCTTCAATCTGAAATTGATCAAACATGCAATCAAGATGTATTGATCATTACTGGTAATTACAATGAAAAGGTTGGGAGCAAAAAGTAAGGATCGGTAGTTGGAAAATAAGGCCTTGGTGATAGAAATGATGCTGGAGAAGGCATGATAGAATTCTGCAAAAGCAATGATTTGTTCATTTTAAATACCTTCTTCAGACAGCATAAAGGACCACTATACACGTGGACCTCACCAGACGGAATATATAGAAATCAAATTGACTACATACGCGGAAAGAGACGATGGAAAAGCTCCATATCATCGGTCAAAATCAAAACAAGGCCAGGGGCAGATTGTGGAACAGACCATCAATAGCTCATATGCAAACTCAAACTGAAGCTGAAGAAAATGAAAACAAGTCCACAAGAGCCAAAATATTACCTTGAATATATCCCACCTGGATTTATGGATCATCTGATGAACAGATTTGATACTTTAAACACTAAAGACCGAAGGCCAGAAGAGTTGTGGGATGACATCAAAAACATCAAACAAGAAGAAAGCAAAAAAGTCATTAAGTAAAGTTTTACTAAAGGTAATGCAGAAACAGCTGCAAGCATACATTGACAGGGAACTTCCAGAGGTTCAAACTGAATTCAGAAGAGTCCGTGGAATGAGGGATATCATTGCTGATGTGCGATGGATTTTGGCTGAAAGCAGAGAATATCAGAAAAATGTTTACCTTTGCTTTATTGACTATGCAAAGGCTTTCAATTGTGTGGATCATGACAAGCTATGGATAACAATGCAAAGTATGAGTATTCCAGAACACTTAATTGTGCTCATGAGGAATCTGTACCTGGATCAAGAGGCAGTTGTTTGAACAGAACATGAGAACACTGAATGGTTTCAAATTAAGAAAGGTGTGCAACAAGGTTGTATTCTTTCACCATACTTATTCAACCTGTATGCAGAGCAAATAATACGAGAAGCTGGGTTATATGAAGAAAAACGTGGTATCAGGATTGGAGGAAGAC